TACTAATCAACATTGGTCACTTTTATCCAGTGTGTCTCAACCTAGTCCATATATCGCATCAACTAAGGTCTTAGAGGTGACTCAACTTTCTACTTCAAGAGTTAAAACCTACTCAAGAAGAGTTTTCAATGGGGCTCGTATAACACTACACCAATATTCACACAATGGGATATTCAGTTTTCAAAAATAACCTTTCTTAATCTTTCTTTAATTCTAAGTCAATCAACATGTCTAGATGTTTATAACAATCTTAGCAGCAATAGAAGAAGAAGAATATTGAGTGGTTTTATATTAATTATCATTGGAAAAAAATTCAAATAATACTAACTGATAAAGAGCGTATTGAGAAAGTAAGTTAGGAGGCTAATTTAAGTTTGCTTTCAAAATCAAGGAGTGTATTGTATATAAGTTTGCTTTAAGATAGACTATAGTACCATTTAAAAAAAGTATATAAGTTATGAGTGTCAACAAGATTAATAGAAATTTTGATTTATTTATTTTTTTTAATTTCTCTAGAATACTTTTTTTTTTGACTTATTTACAATATTTGTTGTTTCATTAATCGATAGTTGTAAATCAGCCATGTATTTAGATAACTATAGACAAAGTTTCCTTATATAGCTATAAAGATTAATATTTAATGCGACTTATTTATAAATAATTCATAATTTTTTATTGTAAAATTCAATTTAGTAGTTTACAATTTTATAAATTATCTTTTAAATATTACTATAACATATATTTAAAGCAAATAACACTTTTTAGTAGTTTACAATTTTATAAAATTTTATAAATTATCTTTTAAATATTACTATAACATATATTTAAAGAAAATAACACTTTTTAGTAGTTTACAATTTTATAAAATATCTTTTTATGTTATGTGTCAATTTCGTATACATATATTATGTATTTGAAAAAAAAAATTATAAATTAGTGTGATTTAGAGAAGTTTCATATTTCAATCAAAAATCAAATCGTACAGTTTTAGAAATTTAAAAATCAAATCGAACCACAAATTTTGTAATTTTTTAAATAATTTTCTATTTTTTAATCAATTTGTAATGTTTTTATTTGAATTGGCTTGATTGAAGGCATTTTATCAAGATAGCAAGAATGTGATAGAAACTAGTGTACTAATTAATAATATTCCTAAAAAATTCATGCAACTTAAAAATTTCTATAGTAGTGTATAGTTTCTGATTGTGCATAATATTAAACAAATAATCCAAAAGGACAAAGCTTGAGAAGAGATCGTTGTCTGAAAAACAATTGATTTTAATATATGCTTAGACAAGAATAAAGATTAAAGTGGTTTGATTCTTTGATGATCTACACCAAGGAATTGATTTGGTACTACGCATTGAATTAAAGAAGAAAAGACTAAGGAGAGATACGTAAAGCAACAGGAGACATGAGATATATAAAATATACATGGAAAGGGTCAAATTTATATATATTTTATTAAAGAATTTCAATAAGAAATTCAGCAAAATTAAGAAAAACATATCTAGCTGAAAATGGGGAATATATTGAAGTGTTAAAAGCAAGCATATTACAAAACATTTATATTCAAGATAGCTGGTGTTGAACATGTGCCATTTTTCAAAGAGATCGAGATGCTATGTATCTCATGGTGATTACATCATATCTCTAAAAATGATATATTCCTTTCAAACTATTAGAATTCTAATTCTAATTATGGCCAGACAAATCCAGTGAATGTAGGGCTATAAGGATAAAAGAAAAAGTAGATAAATATATATAATGTTTTAAAAATTAATAAAAAAAGATCATATCATCTCTATTATTTATTTATTTTTTGTTGTGTCACAGAGAGAAAAAATTAAAGAGAGGTCCAAAACATACAGCTATAAATATGTTGGAATTATTATGGAATTTGATCTGTTGAAGCAAGCAAATTAGGCATGGCAGCTCATTTATGCAGGAAAAGTGGAATATGCTGTGTGAAGATATCTTCTAAGAAACCACAAATGCAGTACATAGGGACACTCTTATTGATTAAATATCATACATACAATTAATAATGTTGATGATCATATTTTATTTCATCTTTCATGGGGCCTCCTTTTCAAGTTTTTGTAATCTGTGAGATGTACTCTGACAAAGTTGTCTTATATAGTGCCTTTCTTCAATTCTGGCACATGTACTTATTTGTTGATTCTCACTGAGGGCTATTTTTTTCATTTGTTAAACACATGAAAACAGAAATAAATAATATAACATAATGGAAAGTTAATTTCTATGAGTTTTGTTTGTCTTTAATTATTTACTAAAAAATAAATTATGAATTCAAACATTATTGTGTGTGGTGGGAGTGTTAGCATTCCTTTTGTCCAAAAAAAGGAAATATTATATTAAGTTATTAACTGACAATTTTATTTATATATTAATAAAAAACAGACATTCATATATATAATATGTTATATGTACATCGTACATAATATTTATTTGTTTATAGAAAAGATCAAATATATAATAACTATTGTTGGTAATCTACTTCAATATATTAAACATGATTATTTTCTATATTTTTAGGAACTTTTATTTAATAAGAGAATTTGTAAGAATTTTTTTTAACCTTTTTATTTAATTTAATTTTTATTTATTCATAAATATTTATAAATTAAATATTAATATTTTAAAATTAATTACCAATAAATGAATATACATTTTTGTTATAATAAAAATTATATATCTTAAATTAAAATATAATTTATATGTTTCAAAATATTTATATATACTAATTTTAAATATAATTTATACATTTAAACATAATATTTATTATAAATTTTAATTACATAATAAATATATTTGTCCATTTCCCATACTAAAATACTAGTAATATTATTACAGTTATTTTGACGAAAATGATTTTAAGATTTTTTTGTTAGTTTATGATATTTTTAGTTTGACTGAATACGATGGTCTCTCCTTCTCTCTCTCTTTTATTTTTTTTCCTTTTTATATTAATATAGGTATTCTGTTTTTTTTTCTTTCTTTTTCACTCAATTTTTATTTTAAAAAAACTATATTTAGAGGAATTGTTACTTTTTAAGTGCTATAGTTCAAAACCCTACATTTCATTCGGCATATTTACTCTAATTTAACAATTAATTTTTCCAAACATTATTAATTCAATAACTTAACATAAATTCAATTTCCAATTAACATTTTTTTATTAATTTTGAATTTTAAGTAGCTTGTCAACTATTTATAGCTAGTACGTACGTATATGTATGTACAAAAATTAACGAAAATAAATATATGTTACCATATATACACATTAATATAGAGATCATTAAAGACAAACATATAATTAAAGATATAAACTATGAGTTGACTATATAAAGGGGACAGAAGTTACTATTTTAGAATTAAAGATCTCAAATACATCGTATGGCAATTAATAACCTTGTATAGTAGAAATTTTCTCTTATTTTTTTTTATGCCCTCTTCTTCTTCTCTTACTTACAAGTATTATATTTGTAATTAAAATGGGATTTTACTTTATTTATTTTTCGTTAAATAAGGTGTAATTTTTATATTAATATATCCTTAAATATTTTTTTTAAAATTAATGTTATTTTTTTGGTCTTAAAAGAAGATAACGTACACACCCTCCACAATTTAATAAATAATATAAGAGGTAGAAAGATAAAATGAATATATACATTGGTTAATAAATATTTATGCTTTTTTTCACATCCTAACTTTTATTTTATCTTATATATTTTTTTAATCTCTCATTTCTATCTTCACGTACCATTCTATATCTATTATATTTATATCCTTGGAAGGAGATTTTTAATCTCATCATTGTTTCTCCCAAAAGGAAACCTGTGATTTCTGAAAAGAAATATAGCATATTATATTCATATTTTAGTGCCTTTATATCTTTCCTTAGTCACCCTTGGCTATTTTCGGCCAAACCCTACCATCTCCACCTTGAGAGAAACAACCCTAGAAGTGGCCTTCATCATCATGAAGTGAGCCAACCCTAGAGTACCATTCTCAAGCATTTCCTCAAACACCTTCTACCCAACCTTCATTTTCGTCCATTCCATCATCATCCACCCTAAAACCTTGGTCCACCTTTGAAGAACTTGATCCTTGGAGAAGGCGTCCTCCTCGTTGCTCATCATCTCAAGTTCATGCAAGTAAGGATGCCATCAGTGTGTGTGTGTGTGTGTGAAAGAGAGTATTAATAACTATTATTCATTAACAAATTAATATGATATTTGATAGACCCGAGAGAAATAGGATCCATGTACAAACAAAATTTTGACCCACATTATATATTATCCACATATAAACCCTAGTAATGTATTATATTAAATATTCAATAAGTTCCTTTTACGGAATGAGACATTATAACATGAAGTGATCATTTATTTATAAAATAAAATAAAAACTGGCAATGACAATAAATCAACAATGGCCAAAGTGACATCAAATTAGAGTACATTTTAATTAATTAATTAAGCTAATAAATAGAATTAAAGAAAGGGTGCGAGCGAGTAATATGATAGCAAATTGGACCTTGTTATATCATCTTTTTTTCGAAACTTGACAAAATTAAACCTATCTCAGACCTATTGAATTTTATAGAATTAAAAAACAAACAAACAAATGAAAGCACAAAATCATCCTAACAACTCTACAATCACACACAACAAGCCTATATATGATGACAATATTTGTGTGCATATCCAATGAAAAAAAATATTAGTTGGTTTCATACCAGATAATTAATTAATTCCAACCTGATCTTTATATAACACATGATTAATTTTTTTTAATAATTTAAATATGTTATATAGACTAAGAGTATAAATACTTAATAATTTTAAATTAATTAATAATTATGAAATATGTCACTCACTCTTTTCGAGTCTTGACAGAAGCTTAGTGTTCACACTCCACTCTTATATAAGCACACTTTGGAAATCAAAATCATTTCATTGTGATGCCCCCAACAAAATTCCTTAGTTCATAACCCCATCTCTCTCTGTCTCTTCTCCTTTTCTTCATATTTGAAAACTTAACAAGGTCTCAAAGTATAGCTAGCAAAATGGGTAAGGATGAGAATGAGGCACAAAAGGTGATGATGGGAAGAAAAGAGAGAGGTTCCACAGGCATGATTTTGAGATATGCTGATTGGATTGACGTGCTGCTCATGTTAATGGGTGCTTTGGGAGCAATAGGAGACGGCATGTCGACAAATGTTTTGTTGCTGTTTGCTAGCCGTATCATGAACAGCTTAGGTTTCAGTGACAACCAACTAAGTAGTAAGACTTACATGGCTGAGGTTGGAAAGGTAAGTTAATTAAAGTTGACTCACTCATTAGATCCTTAATTTCTTCATTTTGTAGACACATATATAGTAGTTCTCACCATCAAACATTTGAGATAGTCTATAAATTAGAAGTATTTTTGAAATTTTATTTTTGATTTTCAATAAAGAAACGTTCAAAAACTTTTCTATGTTTGTATTTAAATAGACTCTTTCTTTCTCTCTCTTTTGATTTGAATTGTAATTTACAGTGCAGCTTATATTTTGTCTACTTGGGATTAGCAGCAATGGTGGTGGCCTTCATGGGTAATCCAAATTCAAACCTTCTTTTACATACTTGCTTCACTTTTTGAGGACAAAGATGTGAAACGTTTTAATAACTAGTATACTGTAATACTACTAATAAGCAACATTTAGCTTTAGCATTAGCATCTAACTAAAGTAGGAATCACTCAGCGAGGCACCCTCAGTTTTCACATGTTAAATTTGGCACACATGTTTGGCCATTTTTGTACATATGAGACCCTAAAAAGTAGTGTTTCATACAAAGAAAATTGGAATTACACTAACCAACAAAATATATATATATCAGTAATAACTTTTCATTTTTGGGTCAGAGTTTTCTCAAAGTTTTGATCCTGAAAAAGAATTACCAAACCATATACATAAATAATTGGAGACTAATCAATAATTGATGCTTAATTGCAGAAGGGTATTGCTGGAGCAAAACAAGTGAGAGGCAGGTGCTGAGAATTCGTTACAAGTACTTAGAAGCTGTCCTAAGACAAGAAGTAGGGTTTTTCGATTCGCAAGAAGCTACCACTTCTGAAATCATCAATAGCATCTCAAAGGACACTTCTCTCATCCAAGAAGTTCTAAGTGAAAAGGTAAATTTCTTTTCTTTACTTTTCTTTCAATGATTTCTTTCATCTTCGTAATTTTATGCCGCTCAAAGTAGTCTGACTTGAACAAAATATCTGTAGTCAAATGAATTCGTAACAAGAAAAATCTTTGTAATTTTATGCAGTTCATGTCACATACTCGCAATTCAATCAACATCTATATTCTACATATTACCAAGTTTCTCACCCTTAATTAATTTTAACCTATGGTTTTGGTATCTCAGGTGCCCCTATTCTTGATGCACTCATCATCATTCATTTCTGGGGTTGCATTTGCCACGTATTTCTCTTGGAGGCTGGCTTTAGTAGCATTTCCAACCCTCCTTTTGCTTATTATCCCTGGGATGATCTATGGCAAGTACCTTATCTACTTGTCAAAATCATCTGTGAAAGAATATGGCAAAGCAAACTCCATAGTGGAACAGGCACTAAGCTCCATCAAAACTGTTTATTCATTCACTGCTGAGAAGAGAATCATAGGGAGATATTCAGACATATTGTGCAAAACTTCAAGGCTTGGAATCAAACAAGGCATAGCTAAGGGTCTTGCTGTGGGAAGCACAGGTCTCTCTTTTGCAATATGGGCTTTCATTGCTTGGTACGGAAGCCGTTTGGTTATGTACAAAGGTGAAAGTGGTGGAAGGATCTATGCCTCAGGAATTTCCTTCATAATGTGTGGACTGTAAGTACCTTCTTTCACTATCTGTTTTTTTTTTTTTTTTTTTTTTTTTTTTTTTTT